GCTGGCTCCACCTTCCATCCACCAGTATCATCCATCTCAGGCAGAGCAGGCTGCGTGTGGTAATGGTGGCCACGAGCTCTCTTCAAGAGAGACACATGAAATACAGGGTGTATATCAGACCCTTGTGGAAGTCTCAGTCGATAAGCCACACTTCCAACCTTCTTTTCAATTTCAAATGGACCATAAAACTTTGGAGAAAGCTTCTGATTCATCCTGGTAACCACAGAAGACTGTCTGTAAGGTCTGAGCTTCAGATACACCTTCTCCCCCTCCTGAAATGAACGCTTAGTGCGATGAGCATCGGCCATCTGCTTCTGGCGGTTCTGAGCCTTAGCCAAGTTAGCCCTCAACACTCCAATGAGCCTATGCTGCTGCTGAAGTCTATCTGACACAGCTGCTACAGCAGTAGAAAGGGGATTTGTGAGAGAAAATTGGGTAGGAGCATAGCCATATAAGGCTTCAAAGGGGGTACCCTGTAGACTGGAGTGGTAGTTGGTGTTGTACCACCACTCAGCCAAAGTCAACCAGCCTGCCCACTGCTGAGGATTATGATGCACCATTCCACGCAGGTATTCTTCCAAGCAGCGATTCACCCTCTCAGTTTGGCCATCTGACTGAGGGTGATAGGCAGTGGAGTAATGTAACTTGACCCCTTGCAACTGAAACAAGGTGGACCAGAAGGTGCTGGTAAACAGGGAATCCCTATCAGACACAATCGTCTGTGGCAACCCATGTAGTTTGAAAATGCCATAAAAAAAGACCCGAGCCACTGAGACAGCAGTATAGGGCTTGGCTAAACTGAAGAAGTGACTGTATTTGGAAAACCTGTCAACAACCACAAACACCACCTCTTTACCTTGTGACTTAGGCAGGCCCTCAATAAAATCCATGGAGATGTGTTTCCAAGCCTGATCTGGAATTGGTAAGGGTTGCAGCAAACCAGGGTAAGGCACATTCTCAGTTTTGCACCTCTGACATATATCACAAGCTTGAACATACTCCTGCAATTCCTTCTTCAATCTAGGCCACCAGAAGTACCTTTTCAATCTCTGATAGTTAGCCTGCAACCCAGAATGTCCCCCCACTGGTGAGTCATGAAACAACTGCATAAGCTGCTTCCTCATGTCTCCTCCTGATCCCACATATAAGGCAGCCTTATGATACAAAAGGCCTTGCTTAACCGAGTACAATTTTGGACCAACCATGGGAACTGATGCTTCCATCATTAGTGCCTGTACCACAGAATCCCCCTCATAAGTGTTCTCAATCTCAGCAATCCAAGCAGGTAAAGTGGCTGAGATGGCCTGACAACTTCCCGGATCAGTAAAGTTGGGATGTCTGGAAAGAGCATCTGCTACCTTATTAAGCCTTCCTTGCCTATACTGGATCTCAAAGTCCAAACCCAGCAGCTTCACTAATCCTTTTTTCTGTATGAGTATGAATTTTCTGGCCCAACAGGTGTTTCAAACTCTCATGGTCTGTGATAATGACAAACCTGTTCCCTTCCAGATAATGCCTCCACTTGGTCACAGCAATGAGGACTGCATGGTATTCCTTTTCATAGGTGGAAAGACCCTGTTTCCTTGGTCCCAAAGCTTGGCTGTGGTATGCCAGTGGTTTACCTCCTTGGGACAGCACCGCCCCAATGCCAATGTCACTGGCATCAGTCTCCAGTACAAATGGTTGACTAAAGTCTGGTAAGGCTAGTACTGGAGCCTGCACCATAGCTGCCTTCAGTACTTCAAATGCCCCCTGAGCTGCTGCAGACCATTTGAAACTGTCCCTCCTCAGTAAATCAGTTAGAGGCTTAGCCAGGATGCTATAATTTTTCACAAACTTCCTATAGTATCCTGTGAGACCCAGAAACCCCCTTAATGCTTTGATATTCTTAGGAACTGGCCAGGACACCATAGCTTCTACTTTACCAGGGTCAGTAGAAACACCTTCCTGGTTAATGATGTGACCCAGATAATCCACTTGAGTCTGACCAAAAGAACATTTGGAGGGCTTAGCATACAAAGTATGAGCTCTAAGGATGCCCAATGTGATAGCCAGGTGGTCCTTATGACTGTCTTGATCAGGGCTGTACACCAAGATGTCATCAAAGAAAACCAGGATAAACTTCCTCAAATGTGGAGCAAAGATCTGATTCATGAGGGCTTGGAAGGTTGCTGGGGCATTTGTCAAACCAAAGGGCATTACCCTAAACTCATAGTGGCCCTGGTGAGTTCTAAATGCTGTCTTGTGTTGATCTTGAGGATGCATTCTGATCTGATGATATCCTGACAATAAATCCAGTTTAGTGAAGAATTTGGACCCCCTCAACTCGTCCAACAAATCATCAATGACTGGAATTGGAAACTTGTCCTTGATGGTAAGAGAGTTAAGCTGCCTGTAATCCACACAGAACCTCCATGATCCATCCTTTTTCAGTACCAGCAGTACAGGTGATGCATAAGGACTCCTACTGTCCTGGATATACTGGGAATCCATCATCTCTTTCACCAACCTATCCATTTCATTCTTTTGAGGGATTGAATAACGATATGGTCTCAGGTTCACAGGTTGAGCATTTGGCATAAGAGGTATAGTGTGATCACAGGATCTAGCTGGTGGTAAGGTCTTAGGCTTCCCAAACACATCCTTAAACTCATTCACAACTGATTCCAGGAACTCAGGGACCTTACCTGCATTTGCAGTTTCCACAGAAATGCTGAACAAATGGCCAACCAGTGTAGCTTTAGTCTTCTTAATCATCTTCTGCAAAGTCTTGCCAGATATGGCCTTGCATTGTGCCATGTCCTGAACCCCTTGCAAGGATACTTCCTGCCCTTCCCAGTCAAAAAACAGCTGCAGATTGATGAAATCAAACTTGACTGGGCTAATAATTTTCAACCAGTCTAACCCCAGGACTACATCATTTGTTCCAAGGCTCAAGACTCTCATATCAAACCTGAATTTGTGACCTTGCATTTCCCAATTGAAATCCTTACAAACCATGCTGCTCAACAGAATAGTTCCATCTGCCAATCTGACTCTCAATGGAGTCTCTGCCTGAACCAACCTGCACTTAAGATTCTTGGCCTTCCTCTCACTCAAGAAGGTATGTGTACTGCCAGTATCTATGAGCACAAAGATTCTTTCATTTTTGACCTTGCCTTTTACAACCAATGAATTGGAAAGACCCCCACTGCTTAGGGCCTGCATTGATACTTCCACAACCTCAGGCTGTTGATCTTCTGTCAAAACTTCATTCATGTCCTCCTCATCCATTACACTCCAGTCCTCTGGTGCTAAGATCTCCCCATCATCTACCTGAATCACATTCAGCTGCTTCTTAGTATCACACACATGGCCAAAGTAGTACTTGTCTCCGCATTTGTAACAAGCTCCTTTGGCATAGTTAGGTTTGTTACTGGTCGATGCTTGTGCTTTGCCCAAATTGGGAGAGCGACTGCTAGGCCCTTCCCATTTCCGAGCACCAGAGTTGGTACCCTGTACCATTGGTGGCATTGAACGCCTGCCACTGCCCACTCCAAGTCGCCATTTCCGTCGATTAGCTTCATTTGCCGTCTCTGCCAACTGTGCCAATTGAAATGCATGAGCTAGAGTCACCGGCTGCCACATCTTGATCACCGGCCTGAGTTCTTCTTCTAGTCCGCTGACGAAACTGGAGATGAAATACTATTCTCCCAAAGCTGGATTGTAACGAACCATTTGTGACTTTAACTCCTCAAATTTCTCCTGATAGTCAGCTAACGACCCGCGTTGACGAAGCTTATTGAACTCCTCTACAATACTTCCAAATTCACGATCACCAAACCTGCCACACAAATCTCTCACAAAATCGTCCCAATTCCAATCCCTGTGCTCAAGTTTCCACCCCTCAAACCAGATATCTGGACGACGATCAAAGTAGATGGAAGCCATTCGCACTTTCTGCTCATCAGGAATCGCGTAGATATCGAATAACTTCTCACACTTCCTAATCCAATCCCTAGGATTATCACCCCTAAACTGAGGAAAATCGATGCGAGGCAACTGGATCTGATCATTACCTCGTTGTTGACCTAAAACTGGATATTGCTCTGCATCTGGATTGTTCTGAGCGAAGCCTCGCTGTTGTGGTGGTGGAACAGCCCCTGGCCGTTGAACTGGCAGAGGTAAGAGACCCCGGCCCTCATGACGAGCTAATTGCTGCTCAGCGGCAACCTCCGGCCGAACTTGAAGATCTCCCAGTCTACGAATGATCTCCTGGATATTCTGATCCATTTGAGCAAATCGAGCTACCGAACGATCCTCCATTCCATCCAAGCGAGTGTTAATCACAGCAAATTGCTGCGAATGTCCTTCAGATCGCGCCATTATCTCCTGCAGTTGAGTCGATTGAGCTTGATTCTGATCCTCCAACGTCGTAATCTGATTGTGAAAAGCGGATTCTGCTTCCATCGTCCGAGTGGAGAACGCACTCAAGCGATCGTCGAGCTGTCTCACCGTCGTCGCCATGGCCGAGAGATGGCTCTGATACCAACTTGTCACGCTCTGGATCGGTGAAGGCTCTCGGCGGGGAATTTAGTCGAAGAAGAAGGAAGGGAAAGTAGAGGAAGAAGAGAGAGAGAGAAGTGAGAGAGGGAAAAGTTGTTATTGTATTCAGATGACCGTTAGGGTTGTTACAGACCCCATTATATACATTTGTCAAATATCTCTTCTGGTCCCTATACTTCTGTCTTCTCTACTATCATCTTTTATTCTTTACAATCAAGTCCCATGTGTTACAAAGGTAGAGACTTTCAGAGGCGATGTAGGAATGGGTGCCGGAAGGGAATTTGAGGCTCGTCCCAGGGTTCGCAAACTCTGGAACTCCATTTGTTGCACCGTAGATGTAAAGCTTATCATCGCTCCACGACCGTAGCATCCCAGTGTCGACTGATGGCGAAATATAGTTGCCACCAACATTCAAGCGATAATTCTATAAAAAAATATATTCAAGCGATAGACATTCTCTAAGGCCGATGAATTGTCGATGGCATAAGTATCGCTCTGTCCTATGATGGGCAGAGCTCCATTGAGGTCTTCGTAGATATCATCCATGGATCTATCCCATTCACAAACGCGAAAGATCTAGAAGAAGTCGAGGAGGGGGAGAATGTTACATTAAGAGATCTGACGTCGACGTTGATGGAGTATTCCTTCACGACGACATCCCAATTGAGAGCCCATGCAGTCTGGCGGCGCTGAAGTTGTTGAGCAGAGTGAACCCGCAGGCGGAGACGCAGAAAAGCGCCTCGGTAGAGTTGAGATTGTTGTCGTAGGAAGCTGGGTAGAAGTAGAGGCGGAGGAATTTGTGACCGGAACCGACGGGGAAGGAGTAGGTGAAGTTAGAGCTGAAGATGCGGGCGATCATGAAGGGGATCTGAGCGACGCAGGGGTTTTGAGAGGCCGCAGCGCGGTCAGGGAGTTCCCAGATGGGGGTAAGTACTTGGAGCCCTAGTTCACAGGTAGGGTCTGGTTAGGGGGTTGGGTTGGTACAGATGACGTGGCAGGTCGGGTCTCACTATTTCCGGGTTAAATAGGGTTTGATTAGACGATTCCGTCCGCTACATCAACACTTAAAGGAATTTGTTAACGGAGATGGACATGACTAGCAGAGAGTCACCAAACGTGAACATTTTCACTAAAGTTAGTGACCACCAATGGATTTAAATATTTGGATAATGTCTATTTTTTTATCAAAATCTTTTTCCGATTTTTTTTATTAGGCAAACCTATCGAAATACTAAGAATTAACCAAATGTTAACTCTCAGTTAGCAATTTTGTTAGTATTATTGAATTGGTAACATGATATTGACTTAGAAAAGACATATGAATGTCAACATTGCAAAATTTTAGTATTTTAACTAAGAAAAGAGTTACAAAATTATTAATAATAACGTAAAATTGTCTAACATTTTGATGCATTACAAAAGATTTGGCTAATTAATAGCATTTTAATAGGTTTGGATAATATAAAATAATCTATAAAAAGTTTGGATAAACAATAGACATTACCCTATATATTTCCAGTGACCAAACATGAACATTTTTTTGTAATCTCTGCATGGTTCAAAAAGCACGCTTAGGCAAGTCTAGGCGCAAAGCAATGGCAAAACGCCTCGCCTAAGGGTTTCACGCCTAATTAGATACTAGAACACGTCAATGGAGTAAGGCGACATATAAGTCTCTCCTGAACATTAATAGATGGAGCTAGAAAGTCGATATTAAAGGAGAAAATTAACGTCAACTACGAAATCAATTTTCTATATCAATATTTTCAATAGCTCAAGAACTTTGTAAGCTATTGCGCTATTTTTTTTTAATGAATTTGTGAGCTATGTTCTTGTCATTAAGTGTTGAGAAAGTTATCAATCATTTTAGCTAAAGTGAGAAAGTGTTGGAGATTATTATTTCATTTATCATGCAGTGCGAATAGCCATTCTTGTTCCAACGCATAGGCACGCTTAGTCTACGCCTAGGAGAGGTAGGCACTAGGTAAAGCCTCAACACCCGCCTTACATCAAACGCCTTTTTGAACCTTGAATCTCAGTGACCAACCATGCAATTAACCCCTTAAAAGATTTCACTTTCCAGAACCATAAAGCGCCAAGATCGTTAACTTTCAACGTTAAGCAGCCTGAGTGAACCTGGCCGTGACCAACCATGCAATTAACCCCTTAAAAGATTTCACTTTCCAGAACCATAAAGCGCCAAGATCGTTAACTTTCAACGTTAAGCAGCCTGAGTGAACCTGGCCGTGACCAACCATGCAATTAACCCCTTAAAAGATTTCACTTTACAGAACCATAAAGCCAAGATCGTTAACTTTCAACGTTAAGCAGCCCGAGTGAACCTGGCCATTTCTCTTGCTTTTCAAACCAGCTGACTGATCCGGAGAAAGATTGCCCAGCTTGGGATTAATACTGTAGTTTGTCAAGTTCAGAAACTATAAACTGGCCATGAAAACATCAAAGAATTGAACCAGGCGACAATGTGTATCAACTCTCAGTTCGCTAAAAACTAGGGGGGAAGTTCTATCTGTACTCTTTTGGGAGGCGGTACTCTGGAATGACTAGCTTGTTGGCAAACATCTTGCCAGTCTTGGGCATGACATGCCAATGCAATGTCAGGTTGAAATCCTTACCCCGGAGATTGCTTCCCTGAATGAGGAAGACGGTTTCAGTAACAAGAAGTCCACAACGCATTAACAGCGGAAAAAGGAGAAAAACGAATAACTTAGCGTTTCTTACCTGATCAACAAACCGATACTTGTTAGCTGTCTGAACCCAGAACTTCGCGTGCTCTTTGGCTGGGATTATAGCGTCCCAAAGTGAAACCTAGTGCATTAACATCCAATAGCAAATGAGTGGAATACTTTGTTGCACTGAGAAGAGAATAAACCATCATTTGTTCTACATATGGGAGGCTCAATTTGAATGTATAACTGAATTCAAACGAGAGACTATTGCACATTCTTTAACCAAAAATACCTGGTTCAATGCGTTCTTTGGGGTTTCATATTCTGCAGCTACAAATACGAAAACCTGATCCAAAAACGGAACAAAATACTTCACAATGACTTAATTTCTGCACATAAACCTAACATCTGCTGGTAGTCTATCTATTTTATCAAAACCAACAACCAAGAGTTGAGCAGAATATATATGCCTACATTCAACTTCTGAAGCAAACAGAAAACAACTAAGGTGTCGTTTGGAAGTTGTGATTGTTAGAATTGTGTTTGTTGAATACATGTAGGGGTCGTTTGGATTGAGTATTTGGGGGTGTTATTTGAGGTCAAATAACACAAAATCTGTTATTTAACCCCAAATAACATGTTTGGCTGACAAAAGGTGGGATGTGTTATTTGGATGTAGTGTTTTGCCAAATAACAGGTTTGAGACCAAATAACACAAAAAGTGTTGTTTGCCAAATACTTGGGAGGGGGCAGGTATTTCCCAAATAACAAGTTTGAGACCAAATATCACATACCAAATAACAAGTTTTATATTATGTGGTATTTGTGTGGTAATTGGCCCCAAACAACAAGTTTATCAAATACTCAATCCAAACGACCCCGTATTGTGCACAATGCATTGTTTTAGGTAGGTCCCACCAATAATCACAAAAAATGATGCATTATATAATCTCAACTAAAAGTTAAGATTGTTGCGTAGTTGCTTTTAGATTTGTGTAAATTTTTTCTTTCCATTTATATCCTTAATAGTTTTTGTCTTATACTAAAAGTTGAGGGTAAATATGACATTTTCCAATAAAAGTAACTTTATGTAAATCAATGCATAAAGTAGAATCTCAACAACCAAACAATATATTGTTAAAATGCATCAATTGTATCAATACATGCATTTATATTATCGCGATTCATTACAATGCAACGATTTAACATTCGCAACTTCCAAACGACCCCTAAGTGAATGGAATATACATAGGGAATCCATTCATCTGCTCATATGGTCAATGTTATATCGAATTTAAATGCCTTGCTTCTGTATGCAAACGTGCCGTTTCAGTTTACAGATGAAATGACAATTTAAAGAAGTTACTAGGAAACTAGACAAGCAGTATGGGATAACACAAACCTGCTTTGTATTCCATGTAAAGAGTGACTGCAGATCTGCTGTTATGTTCATTGTAAGACTGACCTGCATCGAGAAAGAAAATTTTATCTCCTCAGAATCAATTGGATATTTTATGTGAAAGAGCAAACATTGGGGAGCATGTGAAATACAGTGGAAGGTATCTAAACGAGAAAATGTCCCCCCTAGTTGTGCCGAACCAATTTCACTGAGAGTAACTCTACTAGATCAAGTCTTTTCAACTACTCGGTTCATAATCCTACATAGGCCACAAAATTCATTGAGGACGACACTCCGCATTCCCCATAACTATCAGTGACACGCCAATCAGGCATCACTCTTATGTTACTAGTCAATATACCATAGCAGCAGTTGCATCAATTGGACTAAACAGGCAGATAGGAACTACATCCCAAACCTTGCAAAATCTTCTATCTAAACCAGCAATGGGCATACAAACAGATGGAAAGCGAAGCCAGAGTTACTAAACCCTCTCGCGAATACCACAACACGTGATTTGGAGCACTTGGCAAGTTCACTTCGTGCCATTAGCCTATATCAGCATTACCAAACCCTCTTGAGAATACCACAACACAATATCTTAAGCACCTGGCATGTTCACTTGGCGCCATCCGCCTACATCAACATTTAGATCCAACAATACAAGCGGCTAACTTGAATGAGAAGAGGTCCTAACCCTTCAAGACTAACACCTAAACAGCTAATCTCATATCCTAACTCCTAACCCCAAACAAAGTTTGAAAACTTCAGTAAGAAGTAGCCAGTAGAAAGCAATTCATCATCTTAAGTTGAGAGCTTACTACAATAACATGAACGATCAAGGCAGAAACCCCAGAATACAGAAGCTAACACAAAGGCAGCTGTTGAAATCCTTACCTCATCATTCCCGTGAGGCTGTTTCTGAAACCAATTGATGTTCAATATCTTCAAATCAAAACCAGAACCCAGAATTTAGAAACCCAAATTGAACAAATCCAGCTGCGAAACAGAAGCAAAGGGCAGCAGCAAGATAGGGCGAATCGCAAAGGGAGATACTGCCCGACCTGGATTTCGGCAGACGGATGGGGAGAATTGAAGTTATCAGAGATGGAGGCCATGGCGCAGATGAGCGCGAGGATGGTGATCCCAAACGTCAGAACAGCATTGGCTCTGAATCCAAAGGAATGCATCTCCGAATTTGTTCAAGTCTTCTAGCAGGGGATCGGGAGGTAGATTCTGCCGTTGCGCTGCCGAATAGTTGGGGGTGACTTCACCGCTGTTGCACAGCTGCCGGCGGCGCTGGAGCCTGATTTATGGAGAGGTTTTGCCCAGTCGGGGAGCGGGAGGAGAAAATGAGGCGTTTTTACCGAGTTGGAAGCCGGAGAAAAGGAAAATGCGTTTTCAGAGGAAGGTTTCTTTTCGTAGCCGGCTTTGGCTGACCTGGTGCACTTTCATTGGGTTAAACACGTCCAAGTCGAACGCCCGTCTAGCGACCGGTGTTTAGCTGTTGGCTCGATCGAACAAATAGGTTAATGGTTTAATCAATTTAGGTTGGATATATGAAAAAAATCTCTATATTTTTTATATTATATCAAATCTTATCTAACATAGGAGTAATAATATTTATGCAAAATATACTTGTATAATCATAACTTTAACGTTTGTGACAAATATAACTATAATTATTTGAAAACACAAAATAATCAATTCCGTCCATCTCTTTAATAGTGATACTTAACAATCTGACTGGACTGACGGAAAATACTGAGTTGGCAATTTATGATCCCAACAAACCGACGTGAATTAAAAAAAAAATTAAAATATAAAAATCATTATTCACCTCATAATTTAGTTTAAAAACAAAAAAGGAAAAAAAAATGACCTAACACTTAACAGGCGCCCAGTTCCTAAAAGAATCCACTAAATCCCTGAATCTGCTCATCGACATCGCTCAACCTTTTTCTTCCCCCAATTCCGCTTTCGCTCCTCTCATCGACGTCGAGCACCTGATCCCGGCGACTATGTTCTGATTTCTTGACTACCCAGCAGAAACAATAGCTTATTTCCGTCGACGGCTCCAGATCTTTAGGAAGAAGACGACCAATAGTCAAAAGCGAAGGCAATTCTAGAGCCTGTGATTTCGAACTCCAATCCCGGCCACCTGAGTTGCGTCGACGTCGTGTACGACAAATAGAAGCTCAGATCTGTGACTACCTCTTCCTGCCTTCAATTTTTTGGGATATTTTGTGTTTTCGAATAGTTATGGCAATATTTGTCAAAAAATGAAAGTTATGGTTATACAAGTGTATTTTGCCTAATTTTTAAATCAAAATAACAATTCTTAATTGGATCCAACATATAATGAAAATTCAAACACACTCATATAACATCAATATTTAAATGTTCAACTTAGAATTTCAAAGATAGTATAAGCCGAACGAGAAAACCGAAAAGAGACACATTTCGGAAATCAAAAGAAAAAACGACACCATGTGACCTCTAAGGCTCCAACCAAGGAACCTTTTTATGGTTGACCTGTGGGCAAGGTTGTCAAACCAGGTTAAGTCGTCCAGCCGGTTCGACAAGGGGTTTGAGGTTTAATGGTCGGATCGGGGTTCAACAGGATTAAGTCGGTTTTAATAGAATAGGTGAATAATGGATATAGGAAGCCATTTTTGTTACAAATTTTGGACTTTTTGGCCCAAACAAACCCATTACATCAGCCCAACAAAACCCCTAATTACTTTTTTGCCCAAACAAACCCTAAGCCCAACTACCCAACAAACATCCATCTCCCTAAGTATCATAAGCAGCAGCCACCTATACACACCCACAAAATAAGAATCTGATTCTCCTTCCCTATTCTTCCCTTTTCCTACTGCTCTGTACTTCTCCTTCCCTATCTCACTTCCACTGCTGAAAAAGGAAATCAAACCTGGGTCGAGGCGCCGACGGCGAGCGGCGTCGAGGAAGCGGGGACCTTGGTCGAGGAGTCCGGCGGCGAGGAAGCGCAGAGCTGGGTCGAGAAGAGGGCAGTGCCGGCGAGGAGTGGCGAGTGGAGCGCCGACGTGGCGCGACGAGGGGAGCGCCGACGGCGAGCGGCTGCTGTGCTGGTTTTTGCTGGAGGTGTTCTCTGCTTTGTTGGCTGGGCTCGACGAGGGAGAAGATTTGGGAACGGCGGTCGCGATAGATAGGTATTAGGGACTAGGGTTATTGAAGTTGGAAGAATTCCAACCAGCCAAAAACGACGCCATTTCATTCAAAACCGGTAGCCGGATCAGTCCGGTCAGACCCCGGTTTCCCCCGGTTTTGACCGGCTACCGGCCAGCTCTAATTATGGCTGGTTCTGACCCTTTTAGTGCCCGGTTCCGGCCAGACTCAGTTCGACCGGCCGGTTCGACCCCGGTTTGACAACCATGCCTGTGGGTGTGTTGCGCCTATTTTCCTCATCGGGTTTGGGTCAACTCAAGTTCAATGGTGGAGCTAGGTTGAAGCTAGCCCCCCTCAATTTTGAAATATAGGTCAAAAACATATAAAATTTGTACAAATTTAGGAATTAGAATAGTCGGTAAGCCTTTAGCTCCCCTCCCCCAATTACGACAATTCAAGTCAACCCCCGGTTCGAATTTTGACTTGCCACTGCCCGTTGTGGGTTGACAACCTTGCTAGCGGCGTGGCCCTTACTGGATATTTACTTTTTGACCGGATAATATGATGATAATTTTGACCTCACCTGTTTTATCCGACCTATTTATGCTAGTGCGGATATGGGTAAAATCCTCAACCTGAAATATCACTCCATTCTTGACCCATTTTTGTTTGATATTTTCCTCAAATTATTTAAGATTTTACTTTCATCACTTTATATTTTAGCTAGGGTTTATCACAAAATAATAATAATAATAATAATAATAATAATAATAATAATAGTGTAGTTAGGGTTAATAGTTTAATATGATCCCAATTTTGCATATAATGATAATTATGGCTCCAACTTTCGTTAAAGATAATTTTTGCACAAATTAAGCAACAATGAACAAATCTGACTCGACTTTTAATTGACTCATAATAATAAAAGTCAACTATTTTACTTTTGGTAACTAAACAGATATGATCCAATACCATCTCTAATAAAATAGTGTCAATGCTATTAAAAAACATAGTGCCAAAATGCTAGCTAGATTTGACACTTTGACTCTTTAAAAGAACTAGATTGTGGCCCGGCTGATTGACTGGGTAGTTTATTTTTCATTTTTAAATTGGTTAATAGCATTTTATATCTCTCTACTATTGTAAATTAACAAATGTACCCTCTGCTAATTTTTTACACAAACATACTCTTCTACTATTAAAATGTAACGAAGATACCCTTCCGTCTAATTATATGATAAGTGTTCGTTTAATAAATGAGAAAATGACCTAGTTGCCTCTCACTAGTATTTTTAATTATTTTCTGTCCCAAATCAATTAAAAATTTAAACAAAAACCCTAAATTAGTCCCCTCCAACCTTCTGTCTCCCTCAAGACCTCTACTCGGCGGCGGCTGCTCCCAGCTTTTCCTCACTGGCGGCCGCCGTCAGACGTAGAAGAGCCACTGCAGGATTCAACCAACACGTTCAAGTGCACCTGGCGCGGCGGCGGCGACAACAGTTCCATGCCTCACGGTTCGAGGATCAAAGATGGCATCCACAACCCTATGACCGATTGCAGTTCTAGCTCCCCAACCCAATCCTGTATCATTACACAGGCAATTTCACAGTCAGGTTCTAGGCATATAATTATTATCCTCGCGTAAAGCCTATGGGTGTTGTATACAAATCAATTAATCAAGTCATCATAAGCAATAGCACTTTCGATACCTCCCAACACAGATCCGGTGGAATTGGACTTATGACCGGATGAGAAGCCGTCGGGGAAGGAGAAGTCGGCAACAGCCGCCGCCGAGTCGAGGGCTTGAGGGAGACGGAAGGTTGGAGAGGATTAATTTAGAGTTATTGTTTTAATTTTTAATTGATTCGGCACAGAAAATAATTAAAAAATTTTAGGGAGGGACAATTGGGTCATTTTCCCATTCATTAACATACCGTTTGGTATAAATGAATTCCATAAGTTTTGAGGAATTCATTTGGAAATGAAACATTTTTGCGTTTGATATTTAAAATAATTCATTTTCAATTCTAAATTTTGAATTCTATAGAATTGGAACTAGTTATAGCAATTCTGAGGAATTGAGATGGAATTTCCAAATGAATTCAACAAGTATTTACTAATTATAATCAAATGACATAATTATCCTCTTTTGTTAACTAAATTACTTATACATATGGCATACCAAACACAAGTATTCATTTGACAATGAATTCTACACTGCAATTCATTTTATTTATAAAGATTTGAATATGACATACCAAACACAAGATTTCATTTGACAATGAATTCTACACGGTAATTCATTTTACAATGAAATGAATTATCGATTCATTTGTTACCAAACGGTCTGTAAACGAACACTTAACAGATAATTAGACGAAAGGGTATTTTCGTTACGTTTTAATAGTAGAAGGGTATGTTTGTGCAAAAATTTAGTAGAGGGGTACGTTTGTTAATTTACAATAGTAGAAAGATATAAAATGCTATTAACCTTTTTAAATTAATGTTTCAACTTTCAAAGGAGACTCTTTTTTTTTTTTTTGGCAAAATACAGTTGTATAGCCATAACTTTTACGTTTTTTTACAAATATAGCCATAACTATTTGAAAACACAAAATGGCCAATTCCGTCCATCGTTTTAACGGTGTTACTTAACCATCTGACTAGACTGACGGAAATGTTGTCCTGGCGACATTTCGTCAGTTAAAGTCCACGTGGATTAAAGGAAAAAAATCAAAAAATCAAAATGCTCATTTAGGGTTCTTGGAGACCCCAAATTCGGGGGCCAATTCTTCATCTCCTCACCAGCCGCTGCCGAAATCGGAAACGAATCGGAAGCAGCGGTAAGCATGAAGAAGGATAAACTAATCGGAAGCCAGTTAAAAGCACGAGGAGATGGGGGAGAAGGTTGAGCAACCTGCTTGTTTCTTCTCGGCGGAGGTACTGCTGTGCTGGATGATTTTGAGGTCGACGAGAGTGAGGGACATGAGGCCGAGAGATATATCACAACCCTCTCTGTTTTTCTTGCCAATCAAAATAGATGTAAAGGGCAGCAACCTGTTTGTTTCTTTTTCCCTCGACCTACCCACTCCAAATCCTACTTGTTTCTTTTCCCTCGACCTACCCACTCCAAATCCTCCATCCCCAATGCTCCCTCTTGCGGCTGATATTGCTTCCTCGAGATTCGCCCAATCATTTCATCTACGGAGGACGGGTCGGTGGTGAGAAACGAAACATATTTCATCAAACCAGGAAGAAGAAACCGATCTGAACTTAGTCGAAATGGCAGTGATTGCCGCCACTCTGGTGGCGAGAGGATCTTGATGAAGCTTCAGTGGCGAGGCTGCGAATGCGAGGAGCCACTCTACGGAGATTGGAAAAGAAGACGCCCTCTCGGTCCTCTTGGTGGGAATGAGGTGCGATTCGAAGGGGGAATGATCTGGAAGGTGAGGAGGTATTGTGGAGATGCGCGTGGCCACAAGGGAAGCGGTTCCAGAGAGGGCGAAGGTGAGATTGGAATTTGTGAGGAAGGGGAAGGCAACTTTTGGGTAGTGTTTATGGTGGCGACGCGGGAGATTCATAGTGGCGGTGACCGCGACGGCGACCATGGATGGGAGGAATGAGCGAACTCGCAAAAGCATCGACAGCGGCGACAGAGGAAAAATTGGGGGATCGTTGAGGAGCATGAAATTGCCGTCGGTCGTAAAATTATCCCAGTGGGGAATTTCTTTGTAACGGTGGTGGCGGAGGAGCAGAGGTGGGAGGAAGGAGAAGGGGACAGTCGCAGTAAAGGGGAAGGGGAAGGGTTTTTTTGTTTCTTTTATGATTAAATATTATATGTATGATTTTTTCATATTATTTTTTACTTTATTATATATTATTATATATAATCTATATATAATAATATATAATTAAATATTATATGTCACTTTATGTTGATTTGTCAATGATGTGTGCAGTGATTTGACGTCCTAATAAGTAAATCGCTAACAAAACAGACGACGTCACTAACACCGTTAAAGTTTCTAACGAAAATGGCTAGATTTGTCACACGGCCCTCCAATTTCCTGGCTATTTTGTGTTTTCGAATAATTATGGCTATATTTGTAAAAAAACGTGAAAGTTATGACAAAATTATTACAGCTTGGCAATTTAATGAAAATATGTAGAGTCAAAACTTTGATTGACTAAAAATTAGTTATTAGTTTTTGTTTTAATTCGGAAAAGTCTAATTCGCCCCTCTTTAAATGGCTATCATTGCATGAGTTTTTAAATGGAGGGAAGGAGATCCTTGAACCACCATGAATTCTCAGTCCCCGCATCATTCGGCTTCCTGTTATGGAGATGAAGATGATAATTTAATCCACATCCACGAGTACCAAACCTATTTCAATATGCTCAAAGAGGGTCAAATTCATCGTTGATGGGTTTTGAGTATAGTGTCGGTGAAATTTGGTTTTTGAATTATTGGGTTGGGTGTAGGTTTAACCAAAACTCGACCTACTTTTCACTTGACCGTCTCATATGTAAAAGAGAAGAACTCGTGAAACAGAAATGAAATGAGAGCAATTAGGGATTTTGACTTGGAAATAGTCAGCAGTTGAATCGACCCTGATCAAGCTGAAACAGATTTAGCCTATTCCATAAGAGTTGATTTCGATTGGGCCGGTTCCCGCTGAACACAAAGGAAAGACGTTGGGCTCAATTCTCAAATAGGCCCGAATCTTTACTCAGAGAAGAAAGAGAGAACAAGTTAGTCTTCTTCACTGAGTCATTCGAACCAGAACAGAGAGGCGCGGAACAGGGGAAGTTAAGAACAATCAAAGGAAAGTGCAGAAAGTAGAGAACACATGGAATTTTAACGAGGTTCACCACAGGGCTACTCCTCGTCCCGGAATAGTAGACACTATTCCGAGAGACACTTTGATTTTCTTGACTCTATAAGAAGCACAAAAAAACTCAAATACAGACACGAATGTGAAAATCAAAGCGATGGAACCAAGACTCGAATTCGCACAGGAATTCGCTACCCCTTTGATCAACTGAAACTATTCCTCAGTTGTGATCAAAGTCACATTCAATTCCCCAACCCTTTGCCCTATTCCACAAAGAATCCCAGAATCAGTATGTAAAAAGGTCTTCGGCCTTCCTTTAAATAGCTCTTCAAGATAGTCGTTGTAACTTTGTCTTTTGAATCGTTTCAGTCAAGGAAGGTTTAGGATTCCATTGATCAGCTTCCCTTTGATTCATTGATCAGCTCCCCTTGATTTCGGCTTGATTTTCTTTAATTCTTCTTTTACAGAGAGAGCAATCTCTGACTTGATCATCGTTGATGGGTTTTGAGTATAGTGCTGGTGAAATTTGGTTTTTGAATTATTGGGTTGGGTGCAGGTTTAACCAAAACTCGACCTACTTTTCACTTGACCGTCTCATAAAGAAAAGAAAACGTCTTTTTGCATCTAACCCTAATACTATGAATAATTTTACGAATGTTATTAGTCTTTATGTCAATATAGTTATGATAATATGGACAATTATTGATGTTATTAGTCTTTATAGCAATATATTTTAGAATTTTTAAAAGAACATAACGATGTGGACTTTATGCACCCATGAATGTTATTAGTCTTTATTGCAATATAGCTCTAACAATATGGATAATTTTTAATGTTATTAGTCTTTGTTCGTGATTATTTTTGCAAACCCATTAATATGAATGCACCATATGAGCTAGTTTAAATAATTAGAAGGCAATGCAACTCAAATTGAATGAGTGGAAATTACATATGTAAATTCTACGCTACTTTGATTAAGGCGATGTTTCATTTCTTATTTAGTATCACTACTAAATATCTTTTATAAAAAGTATATATTAATCCAGTGTGATAAAAGTATAAAGAATTTTTGAAGTAAGGTAACTTTCTTTATAAAGTAACTTTTTTATGAGGGACTTACAGGTAGCACTACGTAAAATATAACAGGTATATATAATGGTTATGTATGGTAAGTTTTATGTACTTAGAACACATATATTTTTTCATATACATTCCAAACCAATTTTGAGTTGGTATGGTCAAAATAGCTCACATCAATAAGTCAATAACTCATTCAAATGACATGTACAATTAACTAACATACCGTTTGGTACCAAATGAATTGAGAATTCATTTCATTTTAAAATGAATTACTGCGTAGAATTCATTGTCAAATGAATTCCTGTGTTTGGTAGTCATATTCAATCTTTAGAAATAAATGAATTGAATTCCCAAATCATGTTTGGTATATGTTTAGAATTGAATTAAATTAAAAGTTTCTCCAACTACACCTTTATTAATTTTTGAAAAAAATAATATTCGTTGAAAATTCATCTTCTAATTGGTCTTATACTTAGAATATCAAAAGTGTTCTTGTGTGCTTCTATTCTATTAATTAGTTCTTTTCTAATATTTCATGAATGAACCCTACAATCTAGTTGAGCCTTCTCAAAGTACTGATACGATCGAAGCAAAAATATAAAATAACTAGCATATGCTACTAGCGTTGCAATCGAATTCTTGGTGACGTTTCTCATACTGCATAAATTGGCGCCAAATAATATATGTAGAAGTAATTTCGTTAATAAATGAGGATAATAATGTCATTCTATTATAATTAGTAAATACTTGTGGAATTCATTTGCAAATTCCATCCCAATTCCTCGGAATTGCTATAACTACTTCCAATTCCGTATAATTCAAAATTTAGAATTGCAAATGAATTCTTTTAAAAACCAAACAAAAAAAGATTTCATTTCAAAATGAATTTCTCAAAACTTATGGAATTCATTTATACCAAACATTATGTAAGGAACATAACACACATGCTCTTGCGTGTACAAAATTATAATTTAATTTTGAATTATGTTTTCAATTTACAATACTTATATTAAAAAGTTTTATGTAATACTTTGAATATAAATAATGATTTTTTAATAATATTACAATTTTCTACACTTGATTATTATGGTAACTTTCGGAAATGAATAGCAAACCAATTCCCTTTGTCCTTTGTCCTTTTCCTATACCTATGAGTAACTAAATCTAGATCTTTAGATCTAAGTGAGCCTACAAAATTTAGATCTAAGGGTTGTGAATTAAAAATATTTTATTTTCTCAAGTTTTCTTAATCAGCTCTTATCTTCTTCGTTCTGATGCGGATTTTTTTTTGCACAGATGGAACGATTTCGTTGTGCTCTACAAAATGAGATCAATTTTCAATATTTTTTGAGAAATTATTTGTCATACCTCCCGTTACCAACTTCATAACATATGGTAACTTCCTCATTTTTAAGTCGTTTTTGAAAGTATTAGCTTAGAAGGAACGGGTTCATCATGATCTATTGGATCTACAAATTTCTGCATGAAAAAAATACAAGACAAAAAATTACCATACTTTACCACTCTGGTATGGGGGTGGTAACTTGAGGTACAGTGATTAAAGTCGTAATTGACAGTTAGTATACTTCTACTATCATGTATTCAACCTTCCTATAGTCTTGGTATGTTCATACCACCATGGTACACTTTCTTACTATATGATATGCTCCTATTTAATATCATATGGTATTGACTGGTAAAAAATGCCTCAATTTTTTTGTTCTAAAAATATATCAAAGTGAATATCATTTTAAAGAACACAATTAATCTGATTTATGTGTGAAAAAAATTAAATTCCGACTTAAAATGAGAGAAATTGTCTGTTAAATATTAAATGAGAAAAGATAAAAGACTTTCCATGAGACAGATGGATGCTTCCTACAAAAAAAAAAAAAAAAGAGGGAGAGAGAGAGAGGAATGCTAATGTCGTGCTAATGTGGACGGGTTACTCACTCTAAAGTCTAAAGTTACTGACATGATCCACATGCCTTCTAGGTTCTAGTTTTCCTTCTTTTTTTTTTTCACTTTCCATTAGGGATGGCAATGGGTCGGGTTGGGGAGGGTTTTGTCAAACCCAAACCCATGGGTTTATCCGCCAAAAAAACCCGAGGTAAAACCCGCTGGGTTTGAAAAACTCAAACCCAACCCAACCGGCTGGGTATCCGCGGGTTCATGGATACCCGTGGGTTTTTTGTGGTAAAAAATTTACAATAACAAGTTTCTTTCAAAATAAAAGTTTATCATCAATTTTCTCATACTAATTATTCATACAAAAAACATCAATCTAGAGCATACAAGCAAACCGCAAATGATCAATACAAATTGTTCAAAATTAAAGATAAACATCTATAAACAATAAGATTAATTGAAAGCTTCTTCCTCGTCAACTAAGTTTCTTCACACTCCACTTCATAATATCAACTTCATTCTAAACAATTAAAAAGAACAAATTATACATGTCTCCACAAACATAAAGAATATTAGTTGTTTAAGGAAGATATATTATTTAGAATAATAAATATATCAGGAAAGTAATTATATGTGTGTAGACGGGTACCCAAGAAGCGGATTTACCTAAACCCAAACCCAACCCGACCCGATGAATAGTGTAGCGGGTTTAAACCCAAACCCGGCCCAAAACCCGTCAACACGGATTTTACCCGCATTGACCGGATTGGGTCGGGTGAGTACCTGTGGGTTCGGGTTTTGTTGCCATTCCTACTTTCCATTGCTCTCTGCTTCTCTCGAAGACTCCAACATCATTTTCATCT